CCAAACTATGCAACTGTCGGATTAAAGAAGATTGCCCACTCTCGGGAAACTGCCTCACCTCCTCAATTATTTACAAAGCTACAATCACAACAAACGGAGAATCAAAGCATTACATCGGGCTCACAGATACCGCATTTAAAACCCGATATACAAATCATAAGCACACATTCAATTCACCAAAACACAGAAACAGCACAGAACTTTTAAAGTTCATATGGAAACTAAAAGACAGCAAAACACAATACAATATCAAATGGTCCATTATTGATACATCCACTAACAATTAATTAAACAGACTTTTATTGGTCTAACCCAAGAGTGCAGGAATCAACAGACTTAAAATAATGCTTATGGTAATGATAAATCATAACGATAAAATGACAAAAAAAAATCCATTTTTTACCGTAGATCTTAGATTAATATTTAGTACCTTTGCAGTCACAATTATATAATATTATAATTACATGTTTATACAAAAGAATGCCAAGTGCTGAAACTACAAAGTTAATATGCTGAAGTTTTATACTAATATACCGAAGTCGACTGTTAATAAAAATTTACTATATATTTCTTGCACTAGAAATTATAAGAAAACAACTACAATTAATAATTAAGTTTAGTTTGCAACTCATTTTTTAACCTCAGTGATTCTTACAGTAAAATTAAGCATCAAGAACATTGAGAATTTAATTTGGTACAGAGATGTGTCACTAATATTAGAGAGGTAACTTGACAAAGCCTTTATGATGATGAACTGAATATTGCACTGAAGAAACATTGTGCAGTATTAGGATTTTATACATAACCTGTAGTACAGGAAAACAGAGGTTCCAGTTATTTTTTTTTCTTCGAATGCACATTACTAAGGAAAAAATTATTAAGCAAAACCTGAAAAGACTGCTTCATTGAATTGCTATTATATTATACTAAATATCAATCACACCATAATGTTATTGATAACAAAACGATATTATTAATAAAATATATCAATACAAATAATTGAAATATGTAGATTACAAAAGATCTGTCCACAGAACAAGATTTAAAACATGGATAACAAATTTGTGGTGAGCTTCTTATAGCTGACTGTGGAAACATAATATGCATTATAATAGAATATAATTACAATATATTTGTACTAATATACAGATAATTTAGCATAAAAAAACGAGCAATACTAAAAAAAATAAAATAATGTAAAACATTGTTTGGTCATTTAAAATGATTAAAAAAAACAAAACAAAAAACAGACATACTGTAAATTCCAAAAGCTTTCATTATTATACAGTGCATTCATTCAGTGATATGCAGTATGAAGCTTCCGAAAGAAATTTAATTATGTTACTAGTCTTGAGTGATGTTCTTGTGTTGAAAATTTCAAAGTACTGTACTACTCTATATGTGTTTGTTTTTGTATTATATTAACAATTCCCACCTTGTTTTAAGGAATATAAAATAAATGTTGTTTGCGGCGATATTTTCCACTTTAACACACCTATGTGAACACACAATTATTAGTGTAGAAATTCACTCAACTTAACCACTAAGCTATTGAACTCCACTGCAATAACCATAGTACAACCAATGGCTTTCCCCTTTTTTAAAAACATATTAATCCATGATCAGAGATATAAGATGGTTAGATAGCTTAAATAAAATACTGATATTTTATAATTAATTGCATAGATTTCATAATTACAGTAACATCATGAAATAGGGGTAGTAAATATTTGTTAGCCTATAAAGTGCTGCATGTAATTTTACTATAATTAAAGTAGTTAATTCTATAGTGGGGTGGGGGGGGGGGGGGGGGGGGGGGGGGGGGGGGGGGCAACAGAACATTTTTTGAAGCAATTTTTAAGAATTGCACAGTAGGCCTATGTAATATGTATACTTTAATCTCCTTGCACAGCAATTAACTTAAACACTATTAAGTAGAAAGTATTTAATGCTAGGTTTGTACTTTAAATTTCAGGTTTAAGTCAAACAAAAATTTAATCTCACAGTACAAGGCTTGGTTTCAAAACAACTAAAGCTGAAAGAAAAAAGTAATATGTATCATTAAAAAGATTGTTGCATAATTATGACATTTTGTTTATTTATTCAGTTTATCATTCATTTATTTAGTCATCCATTTTTATAATTATTTAACCAGACAGGTTCAAAGTTACAGTGAAAATAGATTGTGAAATGTAGTGTAAAATGTTTCTTGGATTTTCCTATGCTCAAAATTTTTTAGATTATACATAATGTATGTAGGATCATGAATTGTGTGAAAGACAGGATAGTTCTTTGTGTGCGTGTGGTGAGTGTATTCAGCAACTGTAGAATAATTGAACATACAAAAAGTTCTTAGGTTATTAGGCATAAAAAGCTTGGATTTAATTCCAATTTGACTGCTTGCATACGATATACACAATATTTTTTTTTTAGAATTAGATTTAGTTATGCTTTTGTAAAGTTACAATTAAATTATCCCATTGTTTTACATGGTCCCTATTATCTTTTCCCGAGTGGCTTGAATATAATATACAATACATTATCTGTAGAGAAGAAATAGATTTAGTTATGTTTTTTGTAAAGTTACAATGCAAATTATCGTATTGTTTTACATGGTCCCTATTATTATAAAATGTTGACTAATTTTTCTCTATTACCGGTATATATTATCCTTACACGTAGCTACCCTGTAGAAACATAATACATAACAAAATGTTATGTGAGCAATGGACAAAATGTGACCAGCAATTAAATTACCAAAAAATAATTAAATTTAACTTAAAGTTAGGCTCTGGAGGAAAAAAAAAATTTTGATATGTTATAGAACTGATTTTTCTGAGACAGAAAAAAGTAGTTTGACGAAAAACTGAGCAACGGTGAATGAGATACAGATTTTTGAATAATTAAAAACTGGGGGAAAAAGGTGTAAAAATGGGAGGTTACGTCCCTTTTCCCCCAGTTTTAAATATTCAAAAATATTAGTCCAAAATATGGAATTCTCAAAACAAGTTCAGACCAATAGAGTCTCACAGATGTTATGCAACACTCCAAATCAGTAGTATTCGCCAGTCCTGAGAACATCGATATTCTTTTAACACAACAGCGTTCCAAGACAGCGTTTACGGTTAGCCATCGGAGCCATAAAGATAACGCGTTAATTTCGTTTTAACGGCGTTAAATCTTATTTTAACGCCGTAAAAATCTTATTTTAACGCGTTAAAACTTATTTTAACGGCGTTAAAATAAGATTTTAATGCCGTTTTTTTACTCTATTTTTAACGGCACTTCATTGCTCTATTTTAACGACGTTAAAACTTATTTTAACGCCGTTAAAACTGAATTTTAACGGCGCTTTTTTACTCCATTTTAACGGCGCTTTTTTAAAACTTTATAATAACGCCGTTAAAATTATAATTTTAACGGCGCTTTTTTAAATTATCGATCTAACGCAATTTAACGAAAGTTAACGCAATTTTGATATCGACTTCATTGATGTTGCATGCAAGCAAATCACGCAAAACTCTTTTCGATTGTCGTGCCCGCTTTATAATATAAAATGACCTGATTTGTAAGTTTGTCCGTTTCCTTGTTTTATCTGAATTAACCCCACCCTCTTTGGAAAGTAAAACAAAAAAAAAAAAAAAAAGAAAAAAGAAAGGAAAAGAAAAAGTTGGTCGCTTAAAACGCCTCAGAGGTTGTTTTAGGGCGTCTAGGCTAGTACTAGTAGGTAGTGTTGTCTCAATTGGTCCCCCTTTCGCGCCCCCACCACCACTTTCAGACATCAGCTCTGGATCCGCCCCTGGTAATTTTAGTAGGCCTAATTAAGTGGTTAGGCCCGCCGAAAAATGCTCGGCCTAGACTGCTAGCCTCTACGGTACGGCAGGCCTATATCATGGACCTATTATTACTTAATAAGATCCATGCCTAAATTTTATAAAAATGTATAGAGACTCACTCATCCCTCAAGTTTAATTCTGCCGTATTCTCTTCCGGAAGTCCTTCCAACAGCTAGATGATTTATGGTTCCATT